CAATAGAGGCATCATTTTTGCGTGCTGGATATAAATGTATCATCAACAATGGAAGAAAAAGAGTTTATGTCAACATTGAAAGCGCAAGTGTTTTTCTTAAAACTCTTATCTCAACTCCACCATTAGAAGTTTTGGAAAAACTCAGAGCTCCTGAAAACAAAATTGAATTGTGTAGAGCGACAGATGTAAACGAAAGAACAGTAATCAAATTATATAATAAAATTGAATCAACACAGTGGTTACCAATCGAAACCGAAAAAAGCACACCAATGTCTGTTCCAAACCAATCGGTTAATAATTTGTTTGTTACAAATACCCAAGAAACGCAAGTTTCAGTTATCACCGAACAAACATTGTGTGAAACTGATAAAGTAATATTAAGTATGCCATTGTTTGATGAAAATGGTATAAGAAGGCCTTTAACAAAAGAAGAATTGGATCAGTTACAATATGAACAAGACATGATTGAACTTGAATGACTTGATGATCAATACATGTCTATCACTTGGAAACAGTAAAGTTTGTTAACTGAGTATTGTTCATTTTTTTGTTTGGTTTTATTTTAACTTTTTGATATTTATAAGACCAATTATATACTGCAGAAGGTGTATTAATAAATTATTGTAGATAAAAATATATCCATTTGAAGTTGAAAAAAATACTATTAAAAATGGTTTGAATTGTTATTAATTATGGTTATTTTTGAAAAACAATCTGCAGAGAGCTGTTTCGTTGCAGAAGGTTGATTCGGCTAACTGTACCTGTTTATTGATTCAATTAAACAGTGTCAAACCGCAACATTAAACTTCTAAACCAATACAAATCCAGCCTTTCTTCAATTTATTCCAGATTTAGCAAAAGTATATTATGTTGTTGATAGAAGAGACTAACCAGTTAATCATTAAAAAAATAACAGAGAAAATGTAATCGAATTACAAAAAAATATTCGTACAAGTCCAGCCACTCGCGCTAAAAACAGAATTAATAGTTAATTGTTGTCGGACTTATTGTTAATATCATGACTGAAATTCCAGTCGCTACATATGACAGTGTTGTGTTTAAAACTTATTTGTATAGAAAGTATGTTAATGAAGGAATGTTGTTTTTTGTTGATGGAGGCTAGAAATCTTGTCCGAATTGTGTTACTCCTTTTCAATTGGATTTTTTAACTGAATACACCACTCAACAGATGGATGTAATTCGAAACCACATTAACGTTCATTCTTCGTGTCGAATTATTGTCGAAAATGTATTTGGAATATTGGTATGCACTTAAATTGATGAAAAATTGATGGAAATTACCAACAAAGAATTGTGGTAAAAATGTTACAATTGCCCATGCTTTGTTGAATTTCAAAATTATTAAACGTCCATTAAGAAATGTCACTTTTAAATTTTCTACCACTATTTTATCACTGAACCTCAAAACAAAGATTTTTTATGACTCCTCTTCCACCAGCAACTATTAGATGGCTCAAAACTTTTATTAACAATGGTGACGTTTCTCCTATTGCCAATGGATAAAAAGAATTTGTCGGTGCGACAAACAATTAACGAATTGAATACATTTTTACTTAGTTTCTGTTTTTTTGTAAATAAATAATTGTATTTATTAAAAATTAAATAAAAACAAATTAGATTTTACTGCTTTTATATCTGTAGTTTCAGGAAACAACAGTAATATTTTTTTATTATACTATAATAAACTATAATTATACTATTTCTTTTATTAAATGTATTGTGAAACTGTAATTTAAATGATAAATTATAGTTACTTAAAGAAAATATAGTTTACCCAAAAAAAAATCTATATTCGCAAGAGTTCCCAGGACTCAGAAGAATTTTAATAACTTGCCAGAGTAGTTTTTTCAGCTAACTCTTAAATGTAAATTCTTAAATATTTAAATACTAACTAATTATTTAAGTAATAAAAAATTAATATAAATAATAATATTTATAATTATATAATTTGATTATGAAACTATTCTACTTATTCATAATTAAATTACTAACAAATAATTAAACAATTATAAATATTTTATCAATTATTATAGTAAATATATTATAGTTAAGAACTACAATACTAACATAAAATGATAAAAACAAATTATTTGGAAAATAAAAGTGGTAAACTCAAAATATAAAATGGAGCAAGAAAAACCGCAAAGTGATGAGATGGCGATTTTGATCGCAGATTATTTTAAGACGTCGCATGGAGAGAGTTCTTTTTTGAAAATTGCATCAGAGCTAAAACTTTATATCGATATTTTTTACGTTGTTAAATTATTAGAAAGTGCTGAAATTGAGAGACTCGACGATTACATATCGCATTTCACTGAGTTTGTTTTTAAATTCTAATTTATTATTTATCACTCAAAGACCAACTCAAGTCAAGTTGGTCATTCAATTTTTATTGAAATTACTACAATTTACATTCTTAACTATTGTTTCGTTCCTCCATAATCAATCAAGCACAAATTGAGTGATATGGATTTTTTCAAAATAACTGTACCATATTTACAAGTTTATTATTAATTAATTTTTAATACAATACAAATTGGTCTTTCGAACGAGAGTTAAATTGAATTATAATTAAACTAATAGTATAGTATCTCAAATAATTGCGACAAGGAGCTTCTTTACGAGCTCCGTTTTTATTTGATGACTCAATCTGCGTTGCGGAACGACCTGATTAATGGGCGGAAATTTTACAAGAAAATCGACGAGCTGGGGACTATCCCAAACCCACAAAAACATCGTCAAAAGTTTATGTTGATGTTTAACGAGAAAGGGACGAACGAGAGCGTAAGGAAACTCTGTGGTGACTATTTAAACTACTGTACGACCACATTGAAGGAGAAGGTCTTGAATTTTCTGTATGAGAGTCCTAACCTTTCCCGCTACTTGAAGTTTCCTGTTGTGGAGTCGAACATCTTGAAGAAACGAGTCTCTGATGGGATCCGTTATTCTCATCTCAAGAATTGTGGTCAGAAACAAGGCGAAACGGTCAAGGTTGTTTCTCTGATGACGTGTCAACACACGCACGACTTTAAGCCATTTAAGATCATCCCCGACGATTTCAATTTTGAAGTTGTGAGCGATACAACAAAGAGTCAAGTCACGTGCGTCCAATTTTTCAAGTCGGGGGTCTGTGTTGCCTTTTCTGATGGCAGAATTGGATGGGCTGAGTTTTCGTCGGGCACTTTTGACATTGTTGTGAGGGAAACCGGCCCCATCGAACTCTTAGAAATCTGCGAGCCATTTTTGGCGTATAAAATTGGTGGGTATGTGAGAGTAGTCAGCTGTACTGTTGGCGGAACAAAACTGATTTTTGAGAAAGATGTGCGGAATGCGAATGTGCAACAACTTGTTTTTGTCAACAAAACCGTCGACTTAGGAATTCTTGCGGAGTCAGAATTTGTTATATATAACATTTTTAACCGTGAGACTATTTTAACGATTGAAAAAGTCATTGGAGTTGTTTCTCTTCACGACACACGGGAAAGCGTTATTGTTTATAAAACCTCGATGAGTCGGTTAGTGAGTGAATTTTCACGATATAAGTTGATTGACGACGAGAAGCTCGGGATCTTTGTCAAGACTGTTTTGAATTCGAGTCTTGTGGTGTCTGAGGACAACAAGTACTTTATTAAAACAACTGATGGGGACAATTTTGCGAACGTTGCGAAGGATACAATTCTGAGTGGGGGGAAAAGGTGTGTGTTTATGCAAAACACGAGAAAAGACGTGTTTGCTGTTGACGAGAAACAAAGGACGCGACAACTTGGGTCATGTGGGGAGATTGTTGTAGCGGGTACGAACGGAGATGTATTTGTTGGTATTGCAAAGGGTGAGGTGATTGTTGCGTGGAAAAAGAAATGGAAGTATCGGATTGACTGGTCTTTAATACTGGAATTTTCTCATCCCCAACTATTGAACGAAGGAGAGAGAACAGTGAAACAAGGTGATGAGAGTATTGGCCAATTGAAAGAAAGAGTAAGTGGAATGGAGAAAGTGACAGTTGAACGCAATGAAGAGGTTCAAATTGTAACAGAAAAAGTTGGCTTGAAAGAAGGCATTCAACACAATGCAGGCAGTCGGAATGAACACAAGAACTTGAGCAATTCTTTAGCAAATCAAATTTCTATCAATCAGCTAGCAACTCCATCAACACCAACTGTCGTTCTAACAAATCAAACACCTGGTGGTGTTGTAATTCAAAAAGAACCACAAGTCGAAGTCAAACCAGATACGTTGAAAATTGTTGCGCCACCGTCTAAAAATCTTCCACAGACAGTGGTGAATGAGACACTTTCTCATTCCAACAAAATTGAAAGTGTAGCTCCACAAAAACGTGAACCGAGTCTCCCTGTTGTTCCTCTGTCATCTCAGATGCCCGTTATTACCATTGGAAATGTCGAACTGAAAGTGTCGAATAACCCAATTGCGAAGATCCCCAACAATATTCATATGGTTTACTACGACTCGACGAAGGGATTTTTGGTTGTTGAGAGCACTCAGAAGGATTTTTATTTGTACAAGACAAACGACTCGCAATACGAATCAATTGTGTTGACACAACCCCAATGCATATCCTTTTCGGCACACCCCATTTCTTGTGAGGACGTTTCAGTGTCGATCACTGCAAACTGTGGGTATGCTCTCTTTGGGTTGAAACACCATTGCGAGCTGTATCGATGCAGCTCGTCGAAGAGAATTTCGACGTTCGGCGACTCCCCGAACGATGCGATCACCGCGTTTTCTGTCTTTCCAAAGGACAACAACTTTATCCTTGTCGGCAATAGTAAAGGAGAAGTACTTGTGTATCTGGCCAATAAGAAGTTTCAAGTCTTTAAAAGTGGGGTGCTGAAGGGAGGCGCAGTTGTGTCAGTTGCATATTTGCCACAACAGAACAACGCGCCGTGCCAGTTTTTTGTTGCTACGGAGAGCGGGAGGATTTATTTGATGACATTTAGAAAAGAAAAGGGAATACAATTATTACAGAGACATCCCACACTTCGAGAAAGAATAAAACGAATTTTCACAGTCAAAGAAGGGGGGGTTTTGTACGCGATTGGGGAAAACAAAGTGTTTAAAATCACAACGGATCGCATGACCTCTGAATCTAAGTCATTTGAGAACATCAAAGATGCGGCGTTGAATGATAAAAAGCAGATTCTCGTGATGGACAAGAATGGTATGTATATCATTGATGGAGAATTTGCAGAGATGAAAAAGTGTTGTATGACAAGAGGAATTGGCGACATAACTTCCATAACAGGAGAAAGAGAGGCATTTTTGATTGGAACGAATAGGGGAGAGGTATACAGAACTTTTGTTGAGTGAAATGAGTGGTTTTGTTATTTATTTTTCATGTCTTTTAGATATTTCATTGAGTTTCTTACCACCCACAAGCAATGAAAATAGTTCAGATTCGTTGCATCATGTAATAATTCATAATAATTCTATAATTAGTATTATTCTTATTCATTAATAGTTAATTATTATAAATATAAATATAAGAGTGTTTTTGGTTTTCTTACATCTTTAAAATTATGTCCAAATTATCAAAGATATTTCAAACGAAAAAATAACTACTATATAATAATAAATGTATTATAAAAATACTAAATAATGTGACAAGTTGAAATGATTTTTTATTTTTATTTTTAAATTGTAAAAAAGAAAAAAAAATTGAAAACAATTTTTATATTAAAAAAGATTGAAGTTTTGTTGAAGGAATTTTTAATTGTATATTTTTGTTTGTTTTGATCTCAAAAAAGCAATTTATATTTCTGTGCTTATAATCCCAAAATTTTACAGTAATTAACGGCTGTTGTTAATCAATAATAAATAATTATAAATAAATATTTTTTTTAAAAAGAATACACTAATTTTTTTAAATATAATAGTTTATTTGCAATTATCATTTTTTAATGTATATACTTTTGTTTTTTTAACTTTATTTTTATAAATCACTTTAAGAATGAGTTATTTTAATAAAAACAATTTTTTTCAACCAAAGAATTATCACTCGAAAGTATTTCGGAATTAGTAAAAATGATATAATAAAAATATTAGTTCAATGTATTATAAAATCTAGTAAAACCAATAATTAATCATTTCAATAATGCGATGATAGAATTTGCAATTCACTATTATTTAAATTATAATAAATTTATAATATTTATTAATAAATTTATTTTAATTATTTGAATAAATCAAACACATATAATGTAACTTTTTATAAGTATAAAATTTTATAATATATAATAATGAATGTACACTTTTGAAAAACAACCAAATAAAATAACCTTCTTATTTAATACAAAAATATAAAGCATAATCTATTCAAAAAAGTTTAAATGTTTAAACTGAAAAAAAAGTTAATCGATTATTTGACCTTTTGTTGAACTGTTTAATAAAAATAGAATACAGAATCTATTTTAACTAAACTGCGACAAAAAAGTTGACCTTTTCTTGAATTGAGTTTTAAATAGAAATAATCAGTGACAATCCGCCAAGATTGCGTTTGAACTTCTTTGCATATACCAAACCAATGAAGTATAATAAAACAAACAATTAAATATAGTATTGAAACATAAAATATTACAAATATGAGTTAATCAAGCAGATCGCATATAATGGATTTGGGGTTCAATAATTCTTATTGTTTTATAAATAAAAAAGTTAAAGTATTTATTATTCAAACTACTCAAATTGGCATTCAAATAAGTTAATGGGGAATAGTAATGCCATGTCTCAATCAGTAGTGTCGAAACGACAAAAGAGTTTACCGTTGGAAATACCGGTACTATTAAATAAAGACTACTCATCAAGTTCACCAAGAAGTCCTTCACTCTCAAAATTGAAAAGTCCTAAAAGCCCATTGAAAGGCTTTTTAAAGATTTCTTCCGCTCAGTCAACACCAAGAGATTCATGTTCACTTGTTTTGTTTCCAATGTGTCGAAGCGGAGATATGTTCGACTCTCAAACCTTAAAACATAAAACTCAAAGAATAAAACCAGTCAATTTTATTGAAACTATTCAACAGTGGACGTCTCTCACAAAAATCACTCCTCTTTTTAACTCTGATGAGGACTCTCTTTCCGCCAAAAATCTCAATGCGTCAATCTGTTGTCACAAAAACGTTTGCATTGTCATCAAAACTGAAGATAACGATTTGATTGGATGTTTTCATCAAGACGTCATTCTGCCAAGTAAACAAAACGTCAATCAAAAAAGCTGTTCAAACGAATTTTTCATCTTTTCGTATAACAAAAACTTCTCACAAAAAATGGAAATGAAAGAAAAAGGAAAAAATCATTCAATCACAATCCACAAAAATTCCGAAACAAATTTCGTTTTTTCGGTGTACTCCGCTTTTTGGATCCTTTCAGACGGAACTATTAATATTCACCCCGCTTTAAAATCAGTCTTTAAAATTCCAAAAAATGTCGTCGATCCACTCATCAAAAACTCTTTTGTTAAATCAACAAAAATTACCAATCTCATGGCTTTTGAGATGGAATAGAAAGCTTGTTTGTATTAATTTGTTTTGTTTTATTCTGGTTTGAAATTTTGTTTTTTCGAGTTTTTTATATTTTTTTATTTAAAGTATTAAATTAATAATTTGAATAAAATCAAAATAAAAATATATTTTTTATAAATTTTAATATAATAAATTATTAATAATATTACATAAAAATAATTAATTATGGTTTTGTTATATTAAAAAATATTATCAATTTGAAACCAATGAGAACTGTATTATAACATCATAATATAATAAATATATTATATTTATATTATATTTTTTTTATAATCAGATTGAGTTATTTTAATAAGTTTAATAAAATTAATAAGAAAAAAAAAACTTTATCGAAAAATTATTTAAAAAAAGAATGTTCTATTTTATTATTTTAAAATCTATTCCTATTACAATGGTATAGTATTATTATTGGATTTATTTAAAAATTTTCCATTATTATTTCTTAATATTATCGGGAAATTGTTAATTCGTTTTTTTCAGTTTTAAAAGGGTATTGCTTCTCCATTCTCATTCCTGTTTGATTTGTTGTTGATTCTTATAATTAATAATTAAAAAAACTAATTTTTATAACAAAATCAATGCTTCATTCAACGATTCATTATTCAATTTCTTTTTGTTTTTCTTTTTTACATGCATTTTTTATAGATAAACAAATTTTGTCAATAAAACCCTCTTTTTCCTAATAAATAAAAGCTGTTTAAAGTATTTAAAATAAAAACCTATTTTTATGTTTTTTACATACTCAAAAATGTCATAAAAACCACTGAAAAAAGAAAAACGGAACAATGAATTTCGGTTTGACAAATTTGTTGTTCCAAAAATAGTTGTGCTATTTTTTTAAAATAAAACAATTCAATGATATTTTTTTGAAGAAGAAACAACTATTATTAAATTAAAATATTGTTAATAATAATAGTAAAATTGTTTGAAAAATGAAAAAACAATGGGTTGAAAAAATTTGACAATTATTTTTTTCTATTTTTGGTATTACAACTGCAAAATTTGGTTTGAAATCATCTCGTCCACTATAAAAGGGCAATTGTGTCATCTTAAAAGCATCAAATGGGAAATACCAACAACAAGTCATGCGTTTCTTTATCACGCCGTCGATCAGTATATACTCCACCAACAAATGTAACATTTCTGAATAACGAAGACTTGGATGTGAGCAGTAGCTACACTCCACGAACACCACGCAACCAAGGCTCTGTTTCAAGATTTGTGAAAACTCCAAAGAGAAATGAAAGTGCAGGGTCGTTATGCAAATGGAACGAAACGCTCGAAACGTACTCGACTGAATCAACTCCAAGAACCGAGAGAAAGATGCCAAAATACTTCTCTGACGTCACTTCAGTTTTCTCAAGACATCCTTTGTCTCCACGGAGTTCTCCAAAAAACTCGCCAAGGTCCACCAAATGTTCTCCTCGAAAAAATGCCCCAAATGTCTCGGCATTCCGCCCAGTCAATCTCTCAGAAAGTGATGATTTTCAAGATGAAACATATCAAGAAGCGTGGTGCCAGAACGAAAGCACATTTAAGGCTGAAAATTTTGAGAACCTCGAGCGACTTAAGAATGCCACGAAGATGAGTAATGCTAAACTCATCTTCGACTCAAGAGTGGACGAAATAGACTCAAGAAATCTCAACTCTCATATTGCTTATAAGGATAATATTATGGTAGTCATAGTGACCGACCAGAATGAAGTCTTTGGCTGTTTTCACGAAGAAGCGCTACCTAACGCAAGCTACGAAGGAAGTCAGCAAATAGTGTCAACAAAAAACTTCTTCCTCTTCACTTGGAAAAATAAAATTTTCAAAACGTACGAAAGAAAAGAAAACGTCGACAAGACTTTCAACGTACACTCAACATCAACACAACAGTTTGTGTTGTCAGTGTTCTCGGCGTTTTGGGTGCTCAAGACAGGAGAGGTGTATGTCCACCAAAATATCAAAGAGAATTACAAAATTAAGACTACAAGTAACAACCCCTTCTTCGAAAGTAGCGCGAAGCCCAACGCACAACTCAAGCATCTCTTTGTTCTCCAGTGGGAATGAGTCACATTTCAACATTCTGTATGTTGATTGTTCTTATATAATGGAATTTCATTTTTATTTTTTTTATTTGTTTTTAACTGTTTTTTATTTGAATTTTTTATTCAAATTTAATAAGACTATAATCTGAAATTTTTATAATAAATTAAAACTACTTTTATAATAAAGATACAATCATCTTGTTGTTTTTAATTAATTTGTTAATAATTAATTATTTTATAAAAATTGAAGTTTTTTTTTAATTACAAAACTTCAAAGTTTTTGATTCGTTCAATTGATGTTAATCCTAAATGATATTATTTAATAAATTATTAAAATAGTTTCAATAAACAAGTATTAAAAAGTAAGTTTAAGACAATTATTATGGACAGAAAACTGCAAGACATATTCATTAAATTCTCTTTTTTTAGCTTTTTTGTATTTTCATCCAAAATAGATCATTTATTAATATAGTAATAGTATATATACTATAAACATTAGTTAAAAAATCTCTGAAAATAGACAACATTTGCAGAAAGAATAAACAATATCTTCCTAAAAATGTCATTTATTCAAAATTATCTCTTTATGTTGTTTTTTGGTCTTTTAATACATTAAAAATAAAAAATAAAAAAAAATCGAACAAATATGCAGAAATGGGTCAATTGAAAAAAAGGAGAAATGGCAACAGAAAATACACAGAAAGTCGCTTACTTTTAACACCAAGTCTTCTTCAAAAAGAGTAAAAAGGACTTTAAAAGTTAAGAAGAGATGGAATTCAACAAGACAAAAGAATCACATCTCCCCGAAAATCCAGCACCTCTCAATTTAAGAGATAAAAAGTCAAGAAAGTCAATGACTTCCTTTCGGCTCCACATTTCTCCAACAAATAGAAACTCTCTTTCTGAGGATCTTTTAGGCATTTCATTTCAACAAAACAATAGTTTGAAGTTATTATATTAATTATATTAATTATATTATACTATATTATACTATATTATACTATATTATACTATATTATACTATACTTACATAGTACTGAGTTATAGTACATATCTATCAAGGAATAGTCTGGGACATATCATTGAACGCTTCAAACACTTTAATTGCCATTGGTGGAAAAGAAAAAAGCGTTAGAGTCCATTCTCTAAGTAACCACGAAGTGAAAGAACTAGTCACCACTTTTGAGTTACATAAGAATGAAGTGATAGTAGTTACATTCTTGGAAGATAACAAAGTTTGTTCATTTGATGGAGGTAAGGAGATGTATGTATGGGATGCTTTGACTGCTCAAGTTATACACAATTTTAAACTCGATGACGCTTGTTTGTCGGCAAAGTTCGATGCAAAGACACACAGACTGGTGGTTGGGTTAATGGATGGATCTTGTTTAATATTTGACACCATCACATTGTCGGTAATAAAGACTTTTAAACTTGATGAATGTATAACTGCAATAGATTTTTTTAATTATGAAGGTGAGACTCTATATTTTATTGGGACTCTAATTGGTTCGGTCTATATGATATCTGATACTGTTTGTTTTTATATTAATATTCTTATAAATAATAATTTAATAATAATAATAACTAATATTTATAGTATAATATAATTTAATAATTTAATAATTTAATAATTTAATAAAATATATATAATAAAAATAATAATAATAATATTATTATTATATTATAATATTAACTATAAGAAAGAAAAAACCATTAATCATAGTATTAAAACTATTAGAAATAGTAAAGAAGGACTTTTAGTCACTTCTGTTGTTGCAATGAAGAACACGGGTATGATCATAGTGACATACCCTGATAAAGTCGTTATGAGTTCTTTGGAGACATTTGAAGAACAAGCGCGATTCAAAAACGCGTTTTCGAACACTTTTGCAATCAAACCCGAAATAACACAAGATGAAAAGGTGGTGTATGTGCCTTCAAAAAGCGGAGCTTTGTTCTTCCCATTCATAACACGTGACACGCCAAAGAAACGAGTTAAGGAAATTCCAGGTGAATATTTTGCACTTGGAACGGACAAAACGGTGATAATGAAACAACTTGAAGATAAATGGTATATAGTTATTGATATTAATGGCTTTGCATCTATATTTAATTGCAACTATTAGTGTGTTATTTATCAAATTATTCTATTATTATTCTATTATTATTATATTATTAATTATTATTATACTATTAATTATAAATAAAATTACTTGGTGGTTTTTATTTTTAATTATTAAACGAAGAGAAATTACGAGGTCAAAAGAGGTATAAAAATTTTGAATTAATACCATGAATTAATTCATAGTGTTCTATTAATATATTTAATTTTATTTATTATTTATAATTAATATAAATATATATTATATTATCAATTCAGAGGTAATTGCATTTTATTGTTTAAAGATTATTGTGTAGTCTTTGCAACGCATTTGTTGTTTTCAATAATTTGTTTTGATCAAGTTAATTATTCCTTTCGACTTTGATTTCAAAGAGAAACTGATTGAAAGAAGTTGAAATTGTTTTTATCTTGAATGTTGAATTGTTTGTAAACTCCAAAAAAGTTTTTATGAGAGTGTAATTGTATTGTCATAGTGATATAATGAGTATATTTACAATTTAAATTCTTATAAAAAGAATAATTATAAACAAGTAAATTCTTTATGTTTTGTGTTTTAAATGCTCAATTAATTAGATTCAACACTTTTGAATTTGAAGGTGTTTGTAAACTGTATCAAAACGCAGTTGTTGTTTATTTATAAACAAAATTAAACTTTAAAAGAACAACACATACTGTTATGTGCCATTTATTCAAAATATTCATTTTATTTGTTGTTATGAAAATTAATGGCCAACCAAGTAACAAACGTTTCTTTCCAAAAGGTCCAACAGAAAGAACACCTTTACTCCAAAATGAAGGTGAATTTGATTCAGTTGACTCTGTACAAAGAAGACCAACAGAACAACGTGAATCTTTTTTTAGAAGGTCAATTCGAAGATTAAGTGGGAGAAGTCAATCAGTGGGGCTTCAGTTCCAAGACAAAAGAAGTGCACCTTTAACAGAAGAGTTAATTACCGAATTTCTATATCTTGAAAAGTTTGGGGATATGTATAGTGTCAATTTACAAAACTTAATGCACCGAATGAAGCGACATGAAGTTATTTACGAAGGCCAAGAAATAACAAATGTTCAAAGAATATCACAAATAGAAGCAGAGTTATCTGCTTTTGCAACTGAAATATTGAACGAACGCAAATTGAAATATCAAACAGTAAGGGAGTTACTCAATTTTATGTGCAACACATACAACTTGAAAGAAAAGGCTAATCCATACACTCTATATTTCAAAAAACTTAAACTTTTCTTAAATAACATCAAAATAACAACTGGAATTACTGAAAAAAGACAACTCAATTTGAGGCAACAAACTGCACTTCATGTTAAATATTACAGAAACCATTTAAAATGGTTGGAAAAACTTCGACATATCGAAGACTTAAAAGAAGATGCTTTTCTCAAGAAGACTGTAAATATAATTAAAAACTTTATTAAGACACATGAAAAGATATTAAAGTCGTGTGGATTTACAGAACAAGAAATGATGGACATGAACTTGCGACCATTTAAAACTAAGTTTAGAAGAGTACCCAATTTGAGATCATTGAATGATAATTAAATATTTTGTTTCAATTATATTCAGATGTTGTACTAGAATTGTTCATGTTGAAAAGACTTCTGTATTATTGAATTATTTATAAAGTATTTTACTGTAATGCTGTTGTAACACACTTAAACATTATAAATTTAAACAACTTGAATTAATATAACATAGACTCAATCTTCTATAACTATAGAATAGATGTAACACACATTTGTATTTATCACTTCACTTCCATTTTCACATGTATTGATAAATACACTCTGTTTTATATTTCTTCTATTCAAGACTATTCTATTTTCTTTCTTCGGACCATATTTAGCTTCTTCAAAAGATGATGGTAATGGATAAACATACACAAAATTTCGAATAACTTCTGGGTTGTTTTTTAATAGAAAAATATAAGGGATATCGACTTGCACTTTATTAAATCTGTTGTCGACCTTAAAATCGTTAATAACTTCAAGAAGTTCTTGTCTCCACTTTTCAAGTGATTTTACTTCGAGTTTGGTATTAAGCAAAATGGTGTTGTATATTTCTAAGTTATTTATTAATCGAAATATATTATTAGCTTCCATTATAGATAAAACAACGGACTTATTAACTGACTTGTGGATATCACTGTGATTCAAAACGTCTTTGATGTAATTTACAAACGAATGGAAGATCATTTTAAGTTCAACGTTCATTAAATTGACTGTGTTATAATTTCGTAGTGAAATTGGTAATGAGAGTCCTTGTGGTACAACATATTTTCCCGAAAAGATGTTGTACTTCTTATGAAAAAGTAATGCCATATTTAAAGGTACAGAATATCTTTCGCACCAATATGACAGTTGAGTAGTGTTAGTCATATATACTTCAGTCTTATTATTAACAAAGATAACATCTTCAACACTTTTAAAGACATCTAAATTACCAAACATAGAAATAGAGTGGAAAGTAGTCAATGAGTTCATTGTAGTCTTTAAGAACATTGAATGTATCTGTGAAACCACTTTTTGTGTTACATATCCTCCATCTCCTTTAAAAGTACTTTTCACAACATAGTCAACTTGTTTTTGGCTTGGTGTCTTCGACGACAAACACTCTGAAAGTGCTATACTCAACTTCACTCGGTGCATTCTAAGTAATTGTATGAGTTACATTTGAATTACATTCAAATGTATGAAGCTATTTCGGTACAATTCTTTTATATTTGTTGTAATTATATAATGTATCATTAATTATAATACAGTGTTCGTATCATTAATTGTTAAATCAATAACTATTAAGTAAATTATAGTAAATTTTATTATTAAATTTTAGTTCTGTTGAATTTAAACAAAAACACTTGTTTTGAGAAAATTCTATTCTAAAAATAATATTATATTATATTAATACTATATATTATTAAGATATTATCAAAAAATATTATTGAGAAGTTGGTTATGTTGAAAATACCATTCAACTATACTCAAATAAAAAAAGGCAACCATTCCAACATGGTAATTTACAAGTTCTTTAACTATAATAATAAATAAATTTATTAATAAATTATAAAAAAAAATAAAAATTATAATTAATAATTATATGAATTGTAATAAATAGATTATAATGCTTTCTTACAAATTTTCTTGGTGTTTATTGAAACTAATCAAAAAGAACTTCGACTTTATTTTTTTTATGTTTTACTAAAAATTATAATTATAAAACCAAAAAAATATGATAATTACAAATCACTCAATCACAAAATGGCAAAACGAGCCACAATCGCAACAATCAGTGCTACAGCAATATATATAACAAACCCAACACGACTAATTCTTTTTTCATAAAAGTCCATTACCTTTTCTTCCTCTTTTTTTCCTTCACACCGTTTCATTCGGACTTTCATCTTTGTGTTAATAGTTTTTTATTAATAAATATATACTATATTATATAAATAGTAAATATTAATAAATGTATAGTAAAAACAACAAACATCTTCAAACGCATCGACAATCGTTGTTTCACTTACACCTCCCATATTAAGTGGTATTGGTCGTATAACCCCTCCAACCTCGACTATTCCATTCGACGTTTCCGTGTCCTTTAAATCGGTTTTAACCCGCCACGTTCCGCATTTCATCTCAAAATGGAGATTGTCGATGACTTCTCTTTTCTTCTCCTCAATTTTTTTGCAGATCTGGATATATCGTGGAAGTGCATCTTCTCCTCTCAAACACTCTCTTTGAACTTCTCCAAACAAATTTTGCTCGTCAAGAAATGTCCAATAGGACTGACACAACGTGTAGATCTCATAATTGTTACAATCTTTATCTCGCTTTCTTTCAGAAACTTGAGTGGTGACGACGTTCGTTCCGTCATTCTGTTCTCCGAAGATTCTCTCTTCTATTCGTTCCGTCCGAAATCTCAAATCCGGTTTTGTGTCATTTTGCTTCGCATAAACGACAATTTGTCCATCACTTTTGTGATCTTTCCCACGAAGACAAAACGCAACAATCACGTTGTCAGATTCAATCGAAACCACTTCAAATATCCCAAAAATCTTCTTCTCATTTTTTTCTCTTTTTTCATCACTTTCGTTTTGTCTCACTTTATATAACACTTTATAAACTTCACCTAGAACTGGAAAAACATAATCACGTCCTAATAAGCGCCCAAGACTCACTTTTCTTTTCTCATTTCTTCTTTCATTTTGTGATTGGAATACTCGATAACACTCCTCTAAAGCCAGACTCTCTAAAAGACAATATATAACATTACTTCTCCCAATCAATAGATTCATTACTCCTCTTTCATACACAACAGGTGTTTCTATATCACACTTTTTATAAAGGCTCACACACATCAAAGATTTGATCAACTTTTTGTTTGTTATATCTATTGTTGTACTCGACCGTTCCGACTCACTCATTTTCTTTGACGTCTCTTCTTTATTTCTCAAATATTCTATTTCAGCTATTATTGTACTCCTCTCGTTCTCCAAATTTGCAATCTTCTCTTTGTATTCGGTTATCACTTTTTCGCTCATTATATTATTATGTTTTATTGTTTGTAACTTCTCTTTCTCATCCGACAACTTTCCTATCAAATCGTTTTGCCTTATAATCTCGTTTTCTTTTTCTGCGACAAGAGCTGTCAATCTCTCTATTTCTATTTTACTTCTTTCTTCTTCCGTTTTAAATGCTTCAAGATCTCCGTTCATTTGCGTCATGTTCTCACTCATCGTTTTGCTCAGAACTTTCATCACTTCAATCTCATCTTTTAATTCGACATTTTCTTGTTTCATTATTTCTACTACTTGTTTAAAGTCATCCTCCTCTTTTAACGCTTTTTCTCTCATTTTTGTTATCTCTGCTTGAAGTTCCATAATCTTGTTGTCATTTATTTCGTTCACTTTTTGCATCTTTTCAATTTCGGTTTTGTTTGGTGTTTTTTCAATTTCTTTTTTCAATCGCATTAACTCCTCACTTTGCTCCATTCGGATCTTTTCGACTTCTTCACTCAATCTCTCTCGACTCATCACTAAATTTTGAAGATCAGAAATCGTTTTTTGAGTGTCCATTTTCGTTTTTGTATAATGTTCTTCCTTCTCCTGTAATTTGTTTTTGAGTTCTTCGATTGTTGTTAAAAATTCAATTTTTTCTGTTTCGTATTTTTGAACTATTTCTTTAGTTTCTGTTTCTATTTTTTCCTTTTCAGTTTGTTCAAAACTGTCACTTTTGGGAGATTTTTCACTTTTTTCGGAGCAACTTGTTGTTATTATCAACTTGCTCAATTCTTCTGGAGATTTTTTCCCCGAGTTTCCCGAAGATTGGCTTCCTTTTCTTTTCGAATTTGTTGTTCTTTTCACATTTTGGAGATTGTTCAATTCGGGTATTTCACATGAAACAACTCTTTTCAATTTTGTTTTATCCTTCTCGCCGCTCACACGCTGCCCACCTCTTTCGCTCTTTTCGGACTTCTCACTCATATCATCAGAGATTTCGGAACAACTTGTTAACTCATCAGACGTGTCATTTTCCGAGATTGAAGGGTCGAAAGGTTCAGCACTTATAAGGGCGCCCCAGACTCTCCAGACCAGATCGACAGTTGCTTTAATGGTAGTCAACCATTTTGAGACTTCGCTTTGTTCGACGCAGAGACAACACAAGTTCTTATAGTGGTAGAGTCTCTTCTCATCGAATCCGACTCTCAAGAACAAATTGTCTTTCCCTTGCAGGACTATTGTGTTCTTTCTTGTCTCGGAGAGCTTCACAGTGACGTGCAACAAGTTTAAGATACACAGCGCCTTCTTATCGACGACGTCTTCTTTGTTCTCGAAGACTAACAAGAGAGGTGGCGAGACTATGACATAGACATTAACATATTTCTTCCGTATTGTTTGTTTCACTTTCATCTGGACGTTCCCCGCAAGGGTTTTGTTCAGTTCGATTTCTTTGAATATTTCGTCCAAGTTTGTCTTCATGAGATGTCCGACGTTCTTGAAGAGCAGTTGGATCTTCGACAACTTTGCCATTTCGATTGAGTTTCGCGTCGAAATACACAACGCGGACGCCCCGAGGTCTTTGTTGTATTGCGTTTTATTCACAAAGAAGTTTTTCCATCGTGTGAATGAAGATTCAGTGGAAAAATAAAATCTCCGAGACTCGTCTGAGACGGGTTTAATAATTATAGAATAAGTAAAGGTCCCAATAGCTTCGGGTGGAATTGTTTGATCAACTTCACTTGATGCCGTGATCTCGGAATTCAATAAAGAAAACGTCACTTTTTTTTCATGAAATAACTCCACGGTTGTGCCAGTGATAGAACACCAGACCGGTAACATTATATGGGCGTGCGGTTGATAATAAAACAAAACGCCTTCTTGTGACATTCACTTGTGTTTCTTCGAGTTTCAAAGGAGAAAGAATGTTGCTTGAAAAGACCTCTTGCCTGTTGGAGTTATTTTTGTGTTTTAGTTATCTGCTTGTTTATTTACTAAAGATACTATAATTTAATTAGAATTTTAATTAGTTAATTAAGTAAAGTTTATGTGTCCAGTAATGTCGCTTTTTATTACAAATTTTGGACAAATTAGGCAAAGGTGTTTCTTTTTCTGCCAACTCTATTGTTTGATAATAATAAAAAAATGGAAATAGTAGTTAATATTAGAATTTATTTATTAAACTAAACTATATTTTTTTTAAATGATGATTTATGATGTATATAAATGACTAAAATTAAATCCTTAAATTAGTCATGTTTCAACCAATTTTGACTTTGATACTAAAAAAGAAAAAAGATGGAAAAAAGGAAACAAAATTTATTTTGATGTTTGAATACTTCGAAAATATTTATTGTTATTTTTTTAAAAACAATTCAAAAGTGTTTTTTTTATTTTTTTTGCAATATAATTTAATTAAATTTTTTTATAGTATAAAAATAATTACAATATTTATATTTTATAGTAAAAAATAATATAAATTAAAATACAGTAGAAATTCTATCTGTGTGTGGTTTTGACCAATCAAAAGTGATATACACACCGATAGAATATAATGATTTCCCACATATTTGGCACAAAAACCCGCAAAAATAATGTCAATTGCAAATTTGTTTTTATTTTAAAAGAGTAAAGACTTGGTAATAAAAACTAAAAAAGAGAAAAATTATCAAACAAAAATAAATTCAAAAAAGATAAAAAAAGAAAAGCAGAAAATGCTCCTTTCAAAATATTAAACTTTAAATGATAATAAAAAATACACCGAATTCCACACACCAATCACAAGAGCACGCTTGTGATTGGTGTGATGAAAAAATCGATTCCACAAAACTTAACAATTTCAGCAAGAAAGTCACAGATATTTACGACACATGCAGACAACCAGCCAGGCGTGCTCATCTAAGTCTTTGAGGGCGAGGCATCGATGACATCACATTGCAACCTGTTTGACAAGGTTGGGTTGTTTGGTATCTTATTAGCACCACATGGAGTCTCACAATTGAAGTCACATTTGACACAAATGCAAATGGGATATTAAATGTGTCGCTGAAAACGAGACAACAGGAAAGAAGACTCTCAAAGGAACAGGTGGACAAGATGGTTGCAGACGCAAAATAGTTCAAGGCAAAGGACGACAAGATGATGACTTTTAAGGCTAAAAATCGACACTCACTTTATGCTACCGTGCAATAACACAGTGAACAAGCAAATTTTTTCAAGGTTATCAACAAAATACAGAGAAGCAATTATCAAAGTACACTCGAGTTGTAAATTGACAAGAATCCGCACCAAAAGTCCACGTTTTTATACAAAAACACAATGCGTTGTTCTTATTCTAAACAATTAAACGATTTAAAAATACACAATATTATTTTATGTTTACACGTGTCACGGTTTTTTCTCAAAAAAAACAAAAAAATACATTTTGTCATTTTTCTTGATTGTGGATAGTTTTACAAATTTCATTATTTTTTAGTTTTTTTGCCAGAAATTAAAAAAGAAAAGAAAAAAAAATTTACACACCTTGGGAAAACCATTTTCATGACTCCACACACCATGATAGAATTTTTACTGTATAACACTTTTTTCTATTAAAATCTATCGCAAAAATAACTATCATTAACAATTCAGTAAATTTTTTTATCGCATTGATTTCAGAATTTAATAAATTCTCACTAATATCTAAGAAATTGAAAAAAAAAAATTAATCAATAATTATAATAGTTAATGTATAGTAAATATATAATAAAAGTATTAATTTGAATATTTAAAATACTGTATAGTTTAAAATGGTTTTGATAATATTAAAATAAATACCAAACATCAATAGAAGAAGACCAAAATGACACAACTTTTTAAAAAGAACTGACACTGGACGGAATAAAATAGTATCGCATCAATGTGAATAGTAAAAAATAGTAAAAAAAGTAATACTTATTGATATAGACAAGTGTGTTTGGTGTGTTCATGTAGTTATTATTTAGTTATACAACAAGTAATGTTTTGTTGATAAGACAATTTGAATTAAGTGCATATTAACATTTTTTACAATAGATTGAGTAAAAAAGAACAGACAATCGAATTCAATGAATTTAAAAACAGCTAGATTTTTGGATTTTTAATAATAGTAAATTTTTTCTCAAAAACAATTGACATCTTTTTCATTGTTACCATTGACATTGATGTTGACCCTTATATTTATCAGATTGTATGATTATGTTGTTAAAGTAATAGGTATTCAATCATAAATTGTATACCTTTTCATTTATTTTTGGTTTATGTTTAGGAGTGTGTCATTGAATAACTGATGCAAACATTTGAAATACATATTGACTCCCTTCTTCAAGTTTTTTGCAAGAACTTCTTATATTTTTCTCATATTACACTTAATTAAACAAACTTTATACTACACTTTATAAATGATATAATTAATTGGATTGTTTGACGTATTACTTTAAAAACTGTATTATTTTTAATTATAAAAAACTCGTTTTTTCTTCAGACGTTTGTTGATTTGGGTTGGTTTTTATTATCTCAACAATCATTATATTAAGTTCTAAAACCAATTCAATAATTTTTATTTTGTTGTTATTTCTAAAACACTGACACCATTTGCAAATGTCAGTGTTTTTGGCCTATTTCACATTGGAAAACATGAAATATGACATAAAGAACATCATTAATAACGAGAATTAAAAACAATGTTGTTAAATGTCCTATCAAAGCCAAAATGTATCATCACACCCAACGTTTTTAAATATTAAATGAATTTTGAACGACTATTTACATATAAATGGAACAATCAACACTTTGTAAGACACTTTATGATAAATTGAAAAAAGATGATGGGTCAGTCGAAGTAATACCTTTAATAGACGGAATCTTGGAGGAAGAGAGCAAGATCAACACCAACCAAACAGAAGAATATAAAAAGAAGGCAAAAGAGACATTGAAAGAGATAGCTTGCATATCACAAGGATATGAAGACAACAAAATTATGAATAAAAATGATGCACAAGATTTTGTGGGATATGTCGATGCAGTTCGCACTTTTCAAAGTGCCAAGACTGAGTTGATGACACCACACTTCGGTTGTTTCTGTGATCCAAACATAATGCTGCGAAATTCGGACCTTATAAAGTTCTTAGATGGATGGATTGGGTTTGGAGAGAAGTACACGTTCAATAAAATTGATAAAGAACATAAAGGGTATATCACTGTCGACCAATTTGTTGACGCCAAAACGTTCCTTTGGAATAAAGAAGAGAAGAAGAGTCAAATAGAGGAATTGAGGATAAAGACAGAAGAAAAACAAAAGGAAAAAGGGGGCAAAATAACACTCGAGGACTTCATCAATTTAAGTGATTAATTTCCTATGACTTGAATTTATTATACGTTTCGATTGTATTTTATAAATATAGGAGGTGGGTTTAAAACGAATGAATAAAGAAGTGATATAAGAAATGACAAATTAATTAAACAAATTAGTTGGCAGTGACGACTTCTTCTTTGAGTTCGTCTTCTTTGACTTCTTGTTTGAGTTTTCTGTTGATGATCCACTTTCGCAAGACCATCACTGAAGCAATAAGTGCAGACAACACAACTAAGACTGCAAACACAATGCCCCAAATAAGAACAGTCGCAAGCGTGTAATTTGCTTTGTTGTAATTTGCCTTCCACGCGTCGTCAGCAAGAGCTGAAGCAATAAAGAAGATGACAAAGAACATTGTTGAGTGAATGGATATCCAAGTTCACTCCTTTTATACTGTCGTTTACTTTTTGAAATACAAAATGAAATGTTCCAGCTCTCAGAGAATGTTTCGTCGTCTGTTTTGTCTTGTCAATGTGACGACACACCTGCCAAAAGAGGTCATCCAAGCCTGTTCTTTGAAAAAAACATTCGACAAAGCAATACTTCCATACTTTGTGTTAAGCAATAACTGCTTTATGGTAATACTTTTAGTATTTTATATTGTAAAAATATAGAATAAATTAATAAGTGTTCGTTTTAGTTGAAAAATGCAGAGTCACTTCGAGCATTTCGTTCGTTTCGTCTTGTAAGTCGATATATTCTCGTTTTCTTTTTTTCGTTTTAAATACAATAATAGCATGGAAAATAGCCTACAAACCGGGACTTTTAATGTTTAAATGCTTTATTGTTATTTTTTTTGACTTATCAGAAAATTTCAGTCTTATTTTAACTGATTTTGAACTTCAAAAAATTGTGTTGTCATCATTATCTATATTTATAAAATTGTTTCATTTAGTAATATCAAAATTCATAATTTAAAACAAAAAGACATTTTTCTTAATTTGAACAATCAAACTTTCTTATGAATTTGAAATGATTTTCAAACATATAAAATATAGTTAAATTGTCGATTTAACAATTCTTTTTATTACTCAGTAATTAAATAAATGAAAAACACAAAAAGTTTTCAAATGTAACTTTTGAAATATTTTTAATTACAGTAAAACCTCGAGAGTTCCCCGATTTTTAGACCACTTGAATTTTGTTCAATGTTATTTAAAGTGTTAATGTGTTACATATATTCAAAGTACTTACAGTAAAACCTCTCAAGAGCGGGCATTTTTTAGACTAAAATTAAAAATATAGTTCTCTATCGACAGGTAATTAAGGTTTGATTGGCTATAAACGCCCGCTCTCGAGAACAAAATACCACA